TATAAAACGAAGTTTAAAATAAGCAACTGCCTTATTTTTTACTATATCTTCTTGTCGTCTCTAGATTGTTTTTCTAAGGTATGCTACAGATGTCAAAAATAATAATTAACCAAATACCATTATATTAGTCTTTACAAGTTTTATATCTTTTAGATGTATCATTAAGTGGCATCTATAAATGATTTGGCAATACATGTAAAAAACTAGTCAAAATCCTTAACATTTAAGAGACATATCATTCTCAATGTCTAATACACGTCGAACATAAGCTTCTACTTAAGTTTAAAGTGTATTATACATATTTTAGATGTCTTTGGAAAATCATCTAAAAACTATTTCATAAAATACGATCGAAATCAGATCCATTTGTATATCTAGATGTTATTTAGATTACTTATACCAGATTTAGACATCTATTAGATTACCTTGTGTTTCCTGGGTAATGTCAGAAATATTTCAGTTATATAACCGAAATATATTATTATAATATATTTTAATGAAATATTTATGACATATTTTTTGCTATGTGGGAAGTCTGTAATTATTGCTTACTCTATAGGGGTTTTCAAGTTATTAGGGTTTACAAATTGAACTGTACTTTCTTTATATTTTTAAAAGGATTTACCACAATTTTTTGTTCACTATATCAATTTCACGAGCCCGTTGAGTGTTAAAGGTAAAATGTGCCTCTTATTTTTTTTCAGGTTTTTGACCAGAACATAATTTAAAAAATATTTTTTAACTATTTAGTTGTGTTTAAAAAAATATTTTAATTTAATATTTTAATTCAATTGTTTATAATTTTTTTTGCAACACTGTTAGTAAAGCCTACCAACAGTGCAAAAAAATGTGTATCACAGGAAGCTATTAATTCAGCCACGTGCAATTTAATTATTTGAAAACAAATTTTTGTGCGATTCTATTTGTTTATTTATTTCCTTCAAAATTATTATATCCATATCTCGATTTTACATAACTTTTAATCTCTAAATTTTATATTTTAATACAACAAACTCCACAAACACTACTATGAGTATAAAAAAAGGCAAAAATATTTTTTTTTAAATTACCTACCTATAATAAAATTTAAAATAAATGTTTGGTAATCTATTACCTATTTATTTTGAATTATAAGAATTGTTTAAAAATTTTATTTTTCGTTAAAAACACATTTTTGTCAGCCAGTGTTACCAATTTAAAATTACTATAAAATTACATATACACAAATAAATAAATAAAATAATATTATTTATTTATTTATTTCCTTCAAAATTATCATATCCATATCTCGATTTTAAATAACTCCTTTTAATTTCTAAATTTTATATTTTAATACAACAAATTATGACTATTTTGACATTTTGAAGTGTATTTTTATGGGTCCTAATTAAACATAAATATACACATTTATAAGTTATTCCTTTTAAAAGTAATGTTTAAAAAATATTCGTTTACCAAAATTAGGCAATTTACAAAATTAAAAGTGCTGTTCCAAGAACAATTTTTCTCAGGCTTAATGAATTTCCTGAAATATTAGCTTTATCTATCTAATTTATAGTGTTAAAAATTTTATCCAATACAATAAAAATTGGAAATAGCGTACTAAAATCAACCGCGCGTGTCAATATTAGTAGTTACGGTTATGGCGCGTGTACGACTCCTTAAATAAGTTCCGTAAATTGGAATCATTCCAATGGAATGAGTTAAAATATGTTTTTAAAAAACGGCAAAAATGATTTTTTAAATTACCTATAGTAAAATTCAAAATAAATTTTTGGTAATCTATTACTAAACATATATTTTGAACTATAAGAACTGTTTAAAACAATTTTATTTTTCGTTAAAAACATTCTGCGTCTCAAAATTACCCTAAAAAAGTTATTGTAATCAGCAGCAAACGCATTTTTGTGTCAGCCAGTTTAAAATTAATATAAAATTACATATACACAAAAAATAAATAAAATAATATTATTTGTTTCCTTTAAAATTATTATATTCATATCTCGATTTTAAATAACTCCTTTTAATTTTTAAATTTTATATTTTAATACAACAAATTTTGACTATTTTGACATTTTGAAGTGTATATTTATGGGTCCTAATTAAACATAAATATACACATTTATAAGTTATTCCCTTTAAAAGTAATGTTTAAAAAAATATTCGTTAACCAAAGTTGGGCAATTTACAAAATTAAAAGTGCTGTTTCAAGAACAATTCTTCTTAGATTTTAATGAAATTTTTTGAATTATTTGCTTTATCTATCTAATTTATTGTGTTAAAAATTTTATCTAATCAAATAAAAATTGGAAAAAGCGTACTAAAATCAACCGCGCGTGTCAATATTAGTAGTTACGGTTATGGCGCATCTACGACTAAATTCTGTAAAGTGGAATAAGTTAAAATATGTATTTATACAATTAAAACTTTTAACAAGATGATTCTTGCAAGAGTACTACATAATATAAGTTTTAAAAACAGCAAAAATTATTTTTTTAAATTACCTATCTATAATAAAATTCAAAATAAATGTTTGGTAATCTATTAATAAACATTTATTTTGAATTATAAGAATTGTTTAAACAATTTTATTTTTCATTTTAAACATATTCAGCGTGTCAAAATTACCCTAAAAAAGTTACTCTGAACTCTGAACCAAACAAATTTTTCTGTCAACCAGTGTTACCAATTTAAAATGACTATAAAATTACATATATAGGTACAAATAAATAAATAAAATAATATTATTTGTTTATTTATTTCCTTTAAAATTATCATATCCATATCTGGATTTTAAATAACTCCTTTTAATTTCTAAATTTTATATTTTAATACACCAAATTTGGTCTATTTTGACATTTTGATTATAATTAATTATAAAAATACACATTCATAAGTTATTCCCTTTAAAAGTAATGTTTAAAAAAATATTTGCTAACCAAATTTAGGCAATTTACAAAATTAAAAGTGCTGTTCCAAGAACAATTTTTCCTAGATTTTAATGAAATTTTTTGAATTATTAGCTTTATCTATCTAATTTATTGTGTTAAAAATTTTATCCAATCAAATAAAAATTGGAAAAAGCGTACTAAAATCAACCGCGCGTGCTTTATATGTTTTTTTAATTATATTTTCCATGAGTTCCATTAAATAATTTTTAAGCAATATTTATTATTATTTAACAGTTAAAAGTTTTATTCACTTTCACTTCTTTTTGTTATAAAATATCCATTTATAATGATGTTTTGACAAAATGGTCATTTTACTACTAAAAAAGAGTTAAAGTAAATAAAACTCTCAGGAACAGGAATATTTTTGAAACATAACACTAATATTTCTAAAACGTTACAGTTATATTACTATAATGTCAGAAATATTTTAGTTATATAACCGAAATATATTATATTTTAATGAAATATTTCTGACATATTTTGTGCCGTGTGCGAATTCTGTAATTATTGCTTACTCTATAGGGGTTTTCAAGTTATTAGGGTTTACAAATTGAACTGTACTTTCTTTATTTTTTTAAAGGGATTAATCGCAATTTCGTGAATTTTTCGTTCACCCTTTCAATTTCAAGAGCGCGTTGCCTCTTATTTTTTTCAGATTTTTGACCATCTGGAATATAATTAAAAAAATATTTTTTTATAAATAATTAGGTTTAAAACAATAAAGAAAAAATATTTTAATTTAGTTAAAAAAATATTTTTTATAAATAATTAGGTTTAAAAAAAATATATATTAATTTTATTTAATAATTAATTACCTTTTATTTAAGCCCATTTCCGTCAAAATTGGTCGATACATTCAAAAGTTACGGAACATCAAAATTTAATTGTTTATAAATTTAATTTTTTCTTTAAAATTATCATATCCATATCTCGATTTTAAATAACTCCTTTTAATTTATAAATTATATATTTTATAGGTATATTTTGACATTTTGCAGGGGGTCGTAATTAAAAATAAATATACACATTCATAAGTTATTCCCTTTAAAAGTAATGTAATGTAATGAAATATTCGTTTACCGAAATTAGGCAATTTAGAAAATTAAAAGTGCTGTTCCAAGAACAATTTTACTCAGATTTTAATGAAATTTCCTGAACTATTTGCTTTACCTAGTTTATTGTGTTAAATATTTTATCAAATCAAATAAAAATTGGAAAAAGCGTACTAAAATCAACCGCGCGTGTCAATATTAGTAGTTACGGATATGGCGCGTGTACGACTCCTTAAATTAATTCTGTAAAGTGGAATGAGTTAAAATCTGTTTTTAAAAATTATCTATAGTAAAATTCAAAATAAATGTTTGGTAATCTATTACTAAACATTTATTTTAAACCATAGTTATATACAGGGAGTTATGTAATTAATGTTATATATTAAAATACTGAATACCTTTTGACATAAGGTTAAAGGAAAAATATTTTAAAAAGCATTTTTCCAAAGATAAAGAAAAAATATGCATTAGAAGTTTTTTATATCTTTTGTGATACGCCACTGGTTTCACACTTGTTTATCTCTGCACACCTGTATTTTGTGAGTACATAGATACCAACCAACAAAGTAGCTATGCGTTGCCAGATGTAAAAAATTGTTACTAAAAATTTTTCTTGCAAAAAATAAATAAAAACTCAATAAATACAAAAGTTTTATGCCCTTAAAGCTCTAATACCCTTCTGTATTTATTTACTGATCCAGCTATTAGCTTAAGCAATGATTAGAAAATTTAGTACCTTTGAAATTTGAAATCCATAACCACAAAATTAATTTTTTTATAAGTTTTTTTCTCTGTTTACTCAGATGAAATTGGGACCAGTTCACAGGTTAAACTTTAAACATTTAATTTGTGTAAATAAATCCAAAAGCACTTCCCTCAGTTAAGATATTTACAATTTGAAAACATAACCTAAAATTTAAAAGAAATGCACTAGATTCTGTCATAAAAGTTGGCAGATTTTGTTTGAATTTACCTTCAGTACAAAAATGAAATAACCAACAATTAATAAAAACGCCAAATTGACAATTTTCATTGTTAATTTTGTCATTTTTGTAATTAAGCTAAATTTAAACAATGTTTGTCAACTTTTTTGAGAGATTTTGGAAACACTTGTTACCAACCATAACATAATAAATCCACCAGATTAACCTAAAGTTCCTAGTCGATCAGTGGCGTACTTTTTGGTAGGATAAAGGTTATTATAAATTATTTTTAGACTTTGGAATTTAGAAAAAAAAAAGTTTCAGGTGCTTCTTTATGGACCCTAAGGAACAACCCATTTTAATATATAACATTAATTACAAGAACTGTTTAAGACAATTTTATTTTTCGTTAAAAACATTTAGCGTGTTAAAATTACCCTAAAAAAGTTATTGTAATCAGCAGCAAACGCATTTTTTTTCTCAGCCAGTGTTACCAATTTAAAATTACTCTAAAATTACCTATATACAAATAAATAAATAAAAACAATAAAAACCGTTCATTCGGGCACCATGAGATCCAAGTTGGCGTTGGTGGTCGCGCCGCCGACGAATTTCTGCTCGCCGCCCCTGATCGAGAGGGAGTGCGCGTGCGTCACCGTCTTCTCCTTCATCATCCCTGTGCGTTCCCACCTTCCCGCGCCGCAGCTGCCGCACAATTTCGTCGGCACGATCTCCAAGCTGGCCACCCTGTTCGAGCAGTTTCCGCACTTGAAGAACCGCTTCGTCGCGTCCGAAACTTTCAGCCGGTGCTTCTCGGTCTTGCACTTCTCCGCCGCGGAGAAGCTCGTGTACTTGCACACCGTGCACGTGACCGCTTTGCAGGCCACTTTGTAGGTGCTCGTCATTTTTTCCTCCATCTGTTCCTTCATTTCCAACTTGTGGAAGTACTTTTCGGCCTCTTCGTCGTCCCGTTGCTCCAGCAGGTCGGTGTGTTTCGACGTTTGCGCCATCATTTTCTTGAAGCGGTCCGAAATGAAGTCGTTGGTTTCCAACTTGGATTTTTTGCTTACACTCGACTGAAAAAGAAAAACAAAGATTGTAGAAAGAAAAATTTTCTTTTCTTTCTGTTGGAATATTGTGCAACAACAATAGTCAACGTTTATAAAATAGCAAATAAACCACATGGCAAGCGAGTGAAACTTTTATGGCATTCGCACCCTTGACTTTAAATATACTACAAGGCAGAGTCAGTCCGAAACCACCCTCAGCGAAATATAGTCGTAACAGATGTTTTTTGAATTTATATTTTTATTTATTTATATTTTATATTTATCTCTAAACATTGTTATCTACTTACACAAGAGCTTAAAAATTATCGATAATTTTGCTTGAAAGCATATTGCCTAAAAAAATGCATGAGTTCATTTTCATATTTTCCTCAAAATATGAAAATGACCGAATGCATTTTTTAAAAGGCAATATGCTTGAATGCAAAATTATCTGATTATTTTTATGCATGAGTGTAATTTGTTTAGATAATTACACAAATAAACTATAGTTTATTATTATTATTTAATTATAATTAAATCAAAGAATAACATTTTCAAATATTTTAACACTAATTTTCACATTTTCATTAATTGAATCAAATTATTCTTTACCAAAACGTGACATTTTAAATAACTGTCACATTAAAATAAAAACTGACGTTATTTTTATTAATTGCCATGGATACGTAGATACAATGGAATTATCGATTCCTAGTAGACAATTATCGTAAGTAATATCATAAGGGCATTTAATTTTTCCGAAAAGAATCGAAAAAACACGTTGCTAAGTGATATTTTAACAAAAGGTATGAGTGCTGGTGGCAACAAAAATCCGAGTCGAAGAGGAGGATTTTTGCACCTGCACGAATGCTTTTTGTTAAAAAATATTACTTAGCATTGTGTTTTTTCGATTTTTTTCACAGGAAAAATTAGATGCCCGAATGGTATTTGACAAGACTATTTCATGAGTAACAGTTAACAATTAAAATATAAATTGCAATTTTTGTTGACAACAGCTGTCAAGTTTTGCCGCGGGTAAACTCGAATAAACTGCTGACAGGTGCTGTCACACAGTTTTTCCACCTAGAAACCATTTGTAATTCAAAATTGCGCGTTTGTGATTGGTCGAAATTAAGACGAGGGAAATAGTCGCGATAATTTTCTTGTAGGCATATATAAGAGGGTAATTTTCGCGATAATTATCTTGTAGGCATATATAATTATCAATAAAGTGTACCTACTTAGTTATCTCATTCTTAAATACAATTGAAGGGGTTAGAATAGAAAGGGTATAAGTGCAATTTCTTTAATTTAGGAGATAAGTTCGTTTTGTGAAAGATAAGGTTCCGACGTATCGAAATGAAAAGGATTTAAGTAATTTTCATACTTCTAGGGACCTCTATTATCCAGTAGAAAAACATTACTAAACAAAATTCTTCACTTTTTTATGGTAACATAACTTTAACTTCAAATATCTCCAAAAAATGAAAATGTTACTTATACCCTTTTTATTCTAACCCCTTCAATTGTGCTTTTTATCGACCATTCACATAATTACGCAAAAACCTATTGAAGTGATTAGAACAAAATCCAACAATTTGTTTTTTGTTTTTACACATTTTACTTTTATTTATATCGATTATTTCTAAAATTAACTTTTTTATTAAATATTTTTTATCAAGACGTGTACTAAAGTTTCTTGTATTTCTTGTAAATATTGTAATAAAATTTAAGAGGCATTAAAATGGTAATGACTAATATTTCTAAAAATTTAGTTTATTTAGCAAAAATATTTATTCAATATTTAAAATATATTTTTGTGTCATGTGGGAAATGCAAAATAGGAAAATTTACAAGTGGGTACCGTAAACACTTTGCACCCCGCGGGTGACTATAGCCCTTTTATGAAAAATCTTTTCGCGCTCGATAATATTAACATTTATATTTTGTTGGTCTAAACCTGTCAATTGAGCGATTTTATTGAGTTTATATTACAGGAAAATCAGTGTTTTAAAAAAATAAATGGGATTTATTACACTTTAAAATTGTATATATTGCATTAGTGCAAAACGCTTAAAAATACATGCGTTTCAATTTCTATATTATGCGCAATTCTTTGGAATGATGATCCTTGGTTAACTACTGGTCGATGTTTTATTGTTTTTATCGGTAACCCCTTGCAATTGCTATATGTCGCTGCTAACACGTGTCTAATAAAAATAAAATAAAATATTGAGTTAATTTTATACGGAAAATACACTGTGAGACAAAGTAACCCGCAACCAGGGGGTAACTTTGCACACCCAGTTTTTAATTTTTATTTTTGAAACTCAGCCCTATGTAAGATTATAACATAGTTATTATGAAAGAGCAACTCAAGACTCAAATTTTGGTATACACTATTTAATGTTTATGATTGTTAAAACTACAAAAATGTTAAGATTAAGTTTGAAAGTGAGCTAAAGCCACCCGTGTTTACGGTACCTAGTTATAAATAGGTCCTCTGAACTTGTATACTGTATATTTTTTATAAATTCTATAAATTATATGAGTTCCATTAAATAATTTTTAAGCAATATTTAGTATTATTTAAAAGATTCATTCACTTTCACTCCTTTTTGTTGTAAAATGGTTATTTATAATGATGTTTTGACAAAATGTTCATTTTTCTCCAAAAAAGGAGTTAAAGTAAATAAAACTCTTAGGAACAGGAATATTTTTAAAAACATAACAGTAATATTTCTAAAACGTTACAGTTATACTGCCCTACTATGGAGAAAGGCAGTAACTGCTAAACAAGAAATTTGTGGAAAATTAGCATAAACTACATTTTTATAAAAAGCAGTAGGTATTTGATTGATTTTATTAACTTATGAGATATTTGACTATATTTCTGAGTTGAATTCGGTTTCAAAATGTCCATAGCTTTACCATAGCACAAGAAAACGCATTTTGCATTTTTTTGCAGTTACTGCCTTTCTCCATAGTAGGGCAGTATAGTACTATAATGTCAGAAATATTTCAGTTGTATAACCGAAATATATTTAATGAAATATTTTTGGGACTGTACTTTTTTTTTAAAGCATTAACCACAACTTCGTGAATTTTTCGTTTACTTTATCAATTTCATGAGCGCGTTGAAAAATACAGTGTTAAAGATAAAATGTGCCTCTTATTTTTTTCAGATTTTTGACCAGAACATAATTAAAAAAATATTTTTTATAAATAATTAGTTTAAAAAAAATAAAGAAAATATTTTAATTTTATTAATTAACTTATTATCTTTTATTTAAGCCCGTTTCCGTCAAAATTGTTCGATACATTCAAAAGTTACGGAACCTTTTTGTACAAGTTACCTTTTTTTGCAAACGTGTTAGTAAAGCCTACCAAAAGAATGTGTATCAAAGAAAGCTATTGATTTGGACACGTGCAATTTAATTATTTAAAAAAAATATTTTGTGCCATATTATTTGTTTATTTATTTTCTTTAAAATTATCATATCCATATTTGGATTATAAAATAAAAATTATATATAGTAATACAACAAATTTATATATTTCGACATTCTGATGTGTATATTTATGGGTCCTAATTAAACATGAATATACTTAAGTTCATAAGTTATTCCCTTTAAATGTAATGTTTCAGTTTCAAATTTAAAAAAACAAATTCTTGCAAAATTTGAGGTTAATTGATCAAAAGGAACATAATTTTGGAAATTCAAAATGATTTTTGCAGATTTTTTTTTATCGAGTTTTTAATTGAATATATTATGTTATATTATATTTAACGAAATAAAAAGTATTGTTGGCGTATACAGTGTGTCCCCGAATCGGATTGCCAATGGAAAAATAGTATATTATGTATCAAGTTTGATAAACGCCATTTTATACACGAATTTAATTTAGGCACGAGCGAGCTTGCGAGCGAGTGCTTAAATTAATGAGTGAATAGAAAAGTTTATAAACGAGGTGCATACTATACTTTTTCTACGAAAAATACTTATTATTATCTTAAAATGATTTAATTCAAAAATTTGTATAGAGCGCCATCTATCAAACAATAGGGGAATCTGTGTGTCACCGTCAAATGTCAAATTTAGTTATTTTATAAACACAGATTATAAAGGTTATAAATCGAAATGTATTTCTTGAAAATTGACATTTTTTCACAGTGAAAGTAAAGAAAATGTTTTATGAGCACTTTACAGTGCAGTTATAGTTTACTGCTGGCGAAATTAAAAGGTCAGTACAATGTTCATATAAACTTTTCAAATATTGGCGTTGAGAAACTATTTAATACTTTTGTATTGAGATAATAAAATAATTTTCACATTTAGTATTATTTTACAAGAAAGGCACTTTATTTTAACGATTGTATGACATTTGACAACTGTCAACTAACTTAAAACTAACTTCAGCCCGTGACTAAAGCGCCATAAAGCCACATCTTGTCAATGTGTATTTAAAAGGTCACTTAGTGTCATGGAAACATGTACGGTAAAGGGCGTTTTAAAGGTGGGTTTGGAATCTACGACCAAAAATTATGTTTACGTGTCCGAGCGTTTAGCTGTAATATTTCAAGAGTTTACCCACAGTGTTATTATAATAATATTATGATTATAATACTTATATACAGGACCGCAAAAAAACATATTCGTTGCTGTATAATTTTTGATTTATTTGACACTTTGATTTATAAAATTATAATTTTGTAATTTAACTTTATAAATAATTTATTATTTTGTAATTGGATATACGTTTATTTTAAATCAATTTCATTTAATTCAATATTTAGTTTTATTTTTTTTTTCTGTAATAAAGTATATTTTTTTAATTAAAATAATGTTAAGTTGTGGATTGCTACTATTTTTCAAATGTGTATATTTTCCAAAAAAAAACAATTTTTCATAAAAAAGACAATTCTTCCAAGACCTAAAAAACAGAAAAAAGAGGTTTTTCCCCAATTTGTTCGTTTTTTTCCGACACTTTAAAACCCTAGCTGACATGTAAACGAGATTAATCTAGTTCAGTACGTATCATGAACTTGAACACATCATACCTATGCGTTGCAAAAAAATATAATTTTTATAGTTATTACACCTTATGTAATCAACAAGTGATCTGTGTGTTAACAAATTAAACGTATGTTAAATTGTTTTATTGTGATGAATTTAAATAGACTTACCTAATGCTTACCTATATTGTGTGCTGAAAGTTGTATTAAGTCCAGAGGACTTGCTAATCTAATAATATTCTAACTTATAAGTCTTATTCCGACTTAATAAGTATTATTATAAGTTTTAAGACAAAGAGTTTCAAAGCTCTTATTTTTACTTGTTAAATTTTTTTACAAGGGATACAAGCCAAGAAATATATTTCATATTTTGGGTTTTTTTAATGGAATTCAAAGACAACAGGAATTTTCGCATTTTTCTCAGTTTCAATGAAAATGCAGTAAATGGATATTTTACTTTGGACGGCAGAAATTCCAGGACGATTTAAAATGTAAAAAACAATCATATTTTTATAAAAATAAACTCACCGAAGTCAACGACGTTTCCGCAGCGTCATCTGATTTTGGTTCCTCGAATTTCCGCTTGCTGCCGCTGCTTTTAACGCTATTGGGATCGGCCTTCTTGATGGTCCCGTGTCTTTGTACGTACTTTATTGCGTTGTGTTTTGTTCGTAATATATGCCTTGGCGTGATTGGTTCATTTAAATTTATCATCTTTGAAGTTGAAAGCGTCGGAATAGTCATCACCATAGGATCTTTCTTTGGAATGCTTTTTTCTTTTGGTGTATTCGGTATATTCGCTTTACTTTCCGGTATAGGTTGGATGTTAAGTACTGTTTGACTTTTAACATTTTCTAGGCTTGATGTTGGGCTTGGCTTAGCTCCGCCAATTTTTTTAATTATCTCCAAGTCTTTTAACCTTTGTGAATGAGATACCTCCAACATGGCGGCGCCCTTCTTTTTTACCGCAGAGGTACTGCCAACCTTAAAAATAAAGATATTATTAAAAAAAATGATTTGTATTTCTACAGGGTGAACAAAAAATTATAATGGATTTTAAGGTTGTTTTCTTAAAAATAAGACTTGTTAAAACAAATACAAAAACAAATATATTTAGTAAACAATTTTCTTTTTAGAATACCCAATTTTTTAATGACGTTTCAAAAATAAAAAGTTTTGAAATAAAAATACATCCATCAACCATGTCGCTGTGTATGCGATGTTTTTTTATTTCCATAACATTGGTTAAAATTAAGTAGGCATAGAAAATACATAGCATTGTCAGGTTTTTTAAGTTAACTTAAATGTAATAAGTAAGTAATATTAAAAAACTATTTTTTTAGTGTTACTTCAATGGGAAATTATTAAACTTGATGAGGAAATTTTTAATTTTTAAAATTAAAATAAAGAGTTGGGATTTTTATTGAATTTTATTTTGGTATAATCTAAAAAAAAATATATTGGAGCGATAATAGCTATTTACATAGCATGGGAGGGAAATAGTGCTTTTCCTCCCGCGAATAGTTTGTTGCCCGACGCAAAGCGAAGGGCATTAAATATTCAAGGGAGGAAACGCATTTTCCTCCTGAGGTATGTATACCGTACCTTCATTTGCAAGCTATACATAGGGAAAATACATTGTAGGTGGAACAGACAAGTCGAAGTCGCGCCGGTCAGCGCGAAACGAAATGTTCCCTATGTATAGCTTGCAAATGAAGGTACGGTATAGTTTTTTCTATTACCTTTTATCGGTTTTAAGACATTTTAAGCGTTCCGGTTCCTTTTACTAACCCGGTATGGGGCTATAAAATTATGACAAAATATTAAGTAGGTGTTGCATCGCCGACGTTATGTTGACAACGCTTTGTTGCTATGCGATTTTTTGTTAATACAAACATAACAGTTTTTATAAGCTGTCAGAATGTTCATGTTCATAAATTTGAAATTCTTCCTACGTTTTGAAAATGAGTTCTAGCGAAGAAGACCTGCCAAGATCTTGCCAAAGAAGCAAGAATAGTTGCAATTAATTTCCTTCCTTAAAAATCGAAAGAGCGATATGAAAATGAATATAGTTTGTTAAAAGAATGGTTGGACAAGCGCGGAGTAAATCTTTTTCCTACAAAATCAAATAGGGCTAGACAAGGTACAAAAACTCTTGCTAATGTAAAATTGTTAAAAAAAAGAGGAAGGAAAATATTTAGAAATTTTCAAAATTTCTGAATTGCTATTAGAAGCACTCACATTTCAAGTATAAGTCTGCAAAAAATCAGAATTTAAGATTGTATTCTAGAATTAATACAACGATTAATGTTACGAATCACCCAACCGCATGTTGCAAACAAAGAAATAATATTTAATAATATTTATGGGACACATTTTTTTTTTCAAAATCAATAATTTATTTATTAATCATATAACTACAACAGAAAATGGTTAGTACGACAATTCAAAAAGATAAATTTAAGTATACTGAACATAAATTTGCTAAAATATAAGAATGATTTTTTTTAACAAATATTTCTTTATTAAAAAAAATTCAATAAAAATATTTTAACTCAATGATTTTTTGTTTTTTTTTAGCTATATAATATAATATTATTTTATTGGCAAAATTAAATTAAAAGTTTACCTGTTAATTAACATCACGGATGTGTTTATATTTTAAATTAAAATTACTAATATAAAAATTCATATTTCTGTAACCGTTCAAGTTAGCGAAAAACTTTGTCAATGTTCTGACTACATTTGACTCGATATATATGTATAGAAATTTTCAATAATTTACATAGCTCGCCGCAGAGTAAAGTTTTTGATGCACGATTTTGATAATTCTATAGGTATTGCAAAATTTTTTTTTGCAAAATCTTTGGAAATTTTTAAAATTTCTGAATTGGTATTAGAAGCGCTCACATTTCAAGTATAAGTCTGCAAACAATAAGAATTTTGTCACAGTTTTAAAATAAAATTAAGTCGCTAACTTCAACGGTTGTAGAAATATGAATTTTCATCCAAATGCGCGCTAGAATAAATATACCTAACTGCAAACAAATTTTCGAACGCAAAAACGAAAAATCCACCTATACTTGATTCAAGTACCTAAACCCAAAGATAATACACCCCATAGATCGGAATTACCACTGCCCTCTAGAGCTACAATACCTGAACTATATCTATTTGTAAATTGCAGACATCTGTATAAACGCTATTTGCAAATGTTAATGTCAATCATAATTATTGATGTCGATCATAATTTTTAAATTATTAAATACATTTTTGCGCCTTAAAAGTGATAAAACGTGTTAATGGTTGTGAAATGTATTGTTGTTGGGTGCGGAAATGTAACCAATTTGTAAGTATTGACTATCCTGCCGTCCTAAGCCAAAAAGACTCATCTCGTTGTTATTAAATTGTTCTCTTAGCAAAAAAGTCGCAATTTAACTATACATACATTTTTAAGTACTATATGTATATATATATATATATATATATATATATATATATATATATATATATATACATATATATATATTAGGGTGGAGCAAAATTTTTTTTCCTTAGCCTGGGGGTGGAATTTGTAGTCTATAAAAAAAGAAAATTTTTGAAATAAAAAAAAAAAAATTACTCAACGTCTTGAGGTGGCCCACTGAGTTTTTAAATTAAATTTAAGTTAAAATTCTTTTGAATAAAAAAAACATTTTTTGGCTTGTAATCTTCAAATTTATCGTGTTCAACTCGAAATTCGCTCTATTGCCTCAGAAAAGCATGTTACTATTTTGGAATTTTTTTAAAAACAACAATAATGACCACAAATTTTTTTTAAGTTCATAACTATTAATTAGCAAGAAAGAGGACACTCCGCAGTTTCCGGAACACTTTTGAAATTTTTTTTTTATTCAAAAGAATTTTAACTTAAATTTAATTTAAAAACTCAGTGGGCCACCTCAAGACGTTGAGTAAAAAAAATTTTTTTATTTCATAAATTTTCTTTTTTTATAGGCTACAAATTCCACCCCCAGGCTAAGGAAAAAAAAAATTTCTTTTTTTCGCTCAAAAGAATATTTTTTTTCTTCTCGTCTCTTGTGAAAATATGTTGGTTTGTCATGTTTTAAGAGCCCTGTCAAAAGATCAGCACCATTAAAATTTTTAGGGGTCGCTCAAGATTTTTAAAAATTACCAAAATCGTCAAAAATCGGATTTTTTTTAATTTTAATTTTTTTTCTCGTTCCGATATTATTTTTTAATTTAAAAATAATAATGATTCTGAAAATTTCAAATCGATATTTTAATTTCTAAAGGTCGCTCAAGATTTTTTTAACTTTCAAAGTAGAGTATTTTGAATGTTTTCGAGCGACCTCTGAATATAAATATCAACGAACTTTTAGCGACCTTTAGAAATCAAAATATTGATTTGAAATTTACAGAATTTTTATTATTTTCAACCTAAAAAATAATATCGAGACGAGAAAAAGAATTAAAATAAAACAAAAATTCAATTTTTGACGATTTTGAAATTTTTTCAAAATCTTGAGCGACCCCTACAAAATTTTTAATCGAGCTGATATTTTGAAAGGGCTCTTAAAACATGACAAACCAACATATTTTCACAAGAGACGAGAAGAAAAAAAATATTCTATTTTTTGGGCCACCCTAATATATATATATATATATATCTCCTAAAAATGTCTAATTAAATTGAACGTATCTTATGAAGAAAAAAATAAAGCGCTATAATTTATAAAGTAAAAATGTGGAGTTGCGTATTTTTGGCTAAGCACGGCAGTATCGCTCTAGCGTAAAAATACTGTTTGTTAATTATGAATTATTTAGGATTGCTTGTTTAATGGTAATTTAGTCCAGGCCAAGCCCACGCTACTTATGGTTGTTTCAAAGCCCAAAAGTTGGCAAGATTTCACACTCAAAAGCCTTGTACAAATTCCTATATGTATATATATATATAAGTAGCCTGGACTAAATTACCAAATTATATCAATATTCTCTTATTATTGAAGAATTAAGACTAATATTTTTTAGGTTTGCACTCCCCAAACAAAAACATATTCATGTATACATACCGATTATGTATTTAATATGTACATATAGATGTATGTATTTTATTTTATATTATATTATTACTACAATAAATAAATGTTATATTCATACTTGATTTATTTAAAATACAGCAGTAAATACAATATATAAAGGCACCCTACTAAGCATCAACATTTAAATATGGCGCCAATATACCTTACAGAAATCGTCTTCGATTTTTGGCATTGCTAAGGGTATTGTAGACCTAGATGGCGTGAATTTACTTTAGCCTTTTGCCGCTAGCGCTAATGCAGTTTCCAATCTATGGGGTGTATTATCTTTGCCTAAACCTCGTATAGCATACGCCCCGCCCACTAACGGCGCGAGCAGATCAGGCAAGACAGCAAGCATATCGAATATCCGACCACTGGTACCAACCGTAAATTTTGTCACAGAGTGACGTAATGCGCGTGACTTTAAAATTCGTTCGCCAACTGATCATTAGGGATGGGCGGTTAACAGTTAACCGGTTATTTCTAAAGACCAGTTAACCTAAAACAGGTTAACTAAAGACCAGTTAACCTAAAACAGGTTAACTGGCTAGAAAATAACAGATTATCCAATAACCGGTTGCCGATGCGATGTAAAAAATAAATCTAAGATATTTTTAGTTTTCTTTTTTATGTTTCCTTGAAATTTTAACTATTACTGGGGAATGTTTATGAATAAGGTGATTTTTTAGGTTAGCACCTTTAGCTTTTCGATATTGGGTGTCAAATTTTTGGACATTAATTTGACCCCCCGTTTTGTCGCACAGTGTTATTTGTTAAAAATACTACATAATACAAATTATTTTGTATTTACGTACTTACCAAATTCTGACGCATGCCGTTCAAATTGTCCAATATCCCCCTGTCTTTCTTCTCCAATTTTCTACTTTTATTCGCCGGCACGGAAGTGTACGATTTTCCCCCGTAAAAGACCTCGTTTTTCCCCAATACTTTGTTCCTCAAGGCCGTTAGTCCATTACCAGCGAAGTTCGCTTGCAATTCCGATCGTTTGGTGCACTTCTGGTACTCCTGTTTGACGTGGTAGACGCAAAACTCGCACCGGTTCACGTTCACGACGGCGTTGCAGCGTTCGCCGTTCTTTTTCAGACTCTTGCACGCGCCCAGGTCCTTAGATTGGCCCAGTACCATCAACTTTTGCGCGTTGTCCACGTTCAGGCTGGCCTGAAATTTTAATTTTAATTGTTTATGGGTACATTTTTAATAAACTGTTACAAAACATAGGAAAACACTATATTATATCTCTATAAATTTTTAAGTAGAAAGAATACAAAGCTGTTAATTTCAAATTCTTAAAATTGCACATTTGTTTTTAAATAAATTACTAATTGAGTAATACTTTATTTTTAATATCGGTGTAGAAAATTGCGTTAAAGTTTTTATGTGATGTTAAATATCACGTGAATCCACCGCCACGAATAATTACATTACATTTCCTTAGTATGGTATATTAATCCTTAAAATGTCTTCTAGGGGTATTCTTTCCCACTATTAGACTAACACTTTTTTCAACTGCTGAAGTGTTTGTGGTGTGTGTTGACGCTTTAAAATGTGCCTGTCCAACAAATCCCAAACATGTTCAATCGTATTTAAGTCTGGACTAATCGCAGGATTTGAATACCTCGATCTTGTAGGAAGTTTATAGTGATGGCTACGAAGTGGTTATCTTGAATGATTATGAAATTTTTACCTACACAATAAGCTGAAGGTACATGATCTAGCAGAAGGTAGGTTTTTCTTTGACACCTATACCACCACAAACCATTATGGAGTCACGACAAAATCTCTCAATTTTTCAACTGCGCGCGCAGAATTGTGCTTAGGCACTGACCTTTAACCTTTTAATTTTGACGCTCGGGCAATTTTAACGCATCCAATGATCGATTTTGTATGTGCAAACATACCGCATTTCTCGGCAGTCCAATCAGAACGTTAATAAGTTGTATGTTTTGCCTAAATTCTACTGGGACGTCTGTAAACACGCCCTTGACCATCACAACGTGAAGCACGGAATCTTGACTTATCGGTGAACAGTACTTTTGTCCAAGCTGCCAATTAATATGCTCATGAGAAAAATTTGAACGACATATTTTGTAATGCCTTATAAAAACCGGTTTTCGCTTGGGTCTTAGGGGTTTTAAGTTAGCTCGATTTCTAATTGTCTCGTCTAAAAGATCATTTCCTGTTAGGATACCAAACATAAGAACTCCAAATAGATCTTGAATTTGAATGTTTTTTCTTGTATTACCTTTTATAAATTTCCGGATAAATTGGGTCAGCGGAAAAAAGTTTTTTCAGAAAAAATTACTTTATTCAAAAGGGTAATGCGAAAAAAATCCAAGTCAATTTTTCTAAAAATTTACATTTTTACGGATAATATCCGTGCACTGATGAATTTCCAGCGCTGATTATATAATATTATGATTATAATAATTATTACTTTTATTTCAATTACTATAGTAAGAATATTCTACCGGGCCGCAAAAAACATATTTGGAGCTGTATAAAACACAATTTTCGTTTTATTTATAAATTTATAAAATTACAATTTAACTTTAATTCATTATTTTGTTATTGGATATTTGTAATGGACTTTTTGCAAAAAAGACCCAAACGTTTACTTTTATTTTCTTAAATGAATATTACTTAATTCAGTTTTATTTTTTTTGTTCTATAATAAAAGATATTTTTTAATTAAAATGTTAAGATATTGATGTATACATGTATACTAATATAAATATTTTCAAAAAAAAAAAAAATTCCAAGCCTAATTTTTTCGTTTTTTTTTTCGGAAACTTTAAACACCCTACCCGATACGTCTTTTGTACTAACGCATCGTAAAGTTATAAAATTCCGGCGGAACGCTATTGCAACCCTGTTATGTACTGTGCTCAAAAGTCCCACTTTAACATTTGAATAAGGAATGCAGTCAAATAATTGAGGTTATGTATCTGTCAGGTTAAATGCTAATTTCGTCCTATTTTTTGGCTCACGCCCAATCGACCACTTTAAACATGACCCTTTTTTATTTTTTTGAAATTTGTATCCATATGTTTTACTACCTACTTAAAACTTAAACCGTTTCTGTAATTTTTTTAAAAGTTATAAATTTAAAAAATTGGTGCTTTTTTAAATGCTTCTTTTAAACGTAATTTTAAGAAAAAATAAGAAGAAAATATTCAAAATCATAATATTTAAAAAAAATCAGTTTTTCATAAAAAAAATAATTTTCGAAAATTGATTGATCAAAGTTAAAAAAAAATATATGTTTTTAGTGATTTGTCAACCTCATCTCCCTGATTTGTTTCCAGATGTTAATTTTTTTTGTACATAATTTGCGATAATTTGTTATTATTATTTTTATTAAATCCCAATGTTATATATATTTTCTATAACATTGGTATTTAATAAAAATAATAAAATTTATTTAATATAAATGTGAATTTCTAAAAAATAAATTATTACCTCATCCTTTGAATCACTTTTATTTTCCATAACATTGGGATTCAATACTCCCAAAACAGTCCCAGTAGTGGTTTTCCAAAAAGCGCTATGAGCACTACCAAACAAAAACAACGTAATAGTTTTAATATCATTTTTTAAATCTGACAATTTCCACAATGAGTACTGCTTTCCTTTTTGAGATGTTTTAACAGGAAACTTAGTAACCAAGACACCACCAATTACCCAGTCTTTATTTGTATCTTGAGACTGCACAAAGTTTTTTAGTTTAAGAAATGGGATGGCTTCTCTACCGATCATTCTTTCTTTTAAAACTTGTGAGGAAACTAACGGGTTTATGATTCGTAGACCAAACACAGGGTCTGTATAAACATCACCCGCAGGTTTGTTTTGCTCTATTTTTGGCAATTCAAGGGTATTTTTAGGTTTACTCAACCACGAACTACTAGTGTTCGGTTTGACTGTTCTTTCACTTTTTGTACTATACTTTTTATTATAAGGATCTTCCTCTTCATCCGAAAAATACTGCTGTGTGGTACGAACAACACTCTCCTCATTTATACTGACGTTATTTTCCTCAGGTTTTTCCGTAAATATATCTACTTCAGTCACAAACTTCTTTTTTTCAAACTCTTCAGACGCATTACATAAAAAATCATCTAATGGGTCGTCTTCAGCCAAGAATTCGTCAATTAAACTATTTTCTGCCATATTTTTGTCGTTTTGCCTAATTATTAATAAATCAGGATACACACATCCTGTAATAAATAAAATAAAATCGTTCACTTGTAAAAAGCGCGCGAAATTAACATAACCTACATACAAATCACAAACACATCAAATGATTGGCGGTGTTGCCGGTTTGCAATTTTACTTATTTTGTTACAAAACTTATGCAACCCAGTATACATCTTGGTTTTGTAATAAATATTTCACAGCTCTGCTAGTAAATAGTGTCTTTAATTCTAAATTTTATACCTTATTGTGTAGCATAGATAAAAAAGACTGTTGTGTAGTGTGCTGGACGCCATGGATGATGAACGGCAGTGCCTGATCCATTGGAAAAAGGGGACAAAAAAAGAAAAAACAAAATGCAGGCAAACTCTCAGTGGCGTAGCGACAAATTTCGGGCCCCCCCACGAAAATCCTTACGGGGTCCCCTGATTTCAGGTATTTTTTACATGGTTTTATATTGTAAATAAAAAATAATACATCCGGTAAAATGATTTTTTAAATTATTTATAAACGAAAAGTAACAAAAAATAATTAAAAAAAAAATAGATTATAAGTAAAATAATATAAAATAATAACATATTTTTTTAACATAAAAAAATAACCTTAAATTATAATAATTTTATTAGGCATCCTTATATATTAAACTCTCTATAATATTAAACTAACCAATAATAAAAGAATTACTTACATGTAAATACTAGACCACTTTGTGCTCACCACAGCTGACCGGCGAGAAACGCATGTAAAACAGTGGAAAAATAAAATAATCAGAAGCAGTCACAAATAAGAACCTACTTGAACCAATACGAATATAAAACAAAAACAAACTAACAACTTACAATTGTGAATCACAATCGTCAAAATTTTAGGGGTTCGCAAAGAGAACGCTTCAGAACTGTCAGAATAATACGCATAACTAAATGCGCATATCTGTTTAGAGTTAGGCGCATGTTTCCAAGTTCTGAATAGTTCCTGCGTAAACCCGCTGTCAATTGTTAAATAAGCGCGATTTTTAAAATTCATCAAAAGGTTCCGTTAGATGTTTTACATTTATGTTGTGATGGTAGGCCAATAATATCAAGTACCTACCTACATTTTAGTAAATTATGATATTTTTAATTAATCATCATTATTATTCAATTTTTAGTATAAGTAAGATGGAAATAAGTATTTTAATGTTTTGGAGCAAGTATCGGCCGGGGCCCCTACGAGGTTAGGGCCCCCCGCTTGGCGGACGTTCGCGGTACTGTCGCTACGCCACTGCAAACTCTGGTGAAATCGGGCGAATGTAGGCGTTTACGGATGAAATCAGACGTTTGCAGATGAAAACAGACATTTGCGGGTGAAAGCAGACGTTCGCGGACGAAATCTGACGGTCGCTGGTGAAAGCAGACGTTCGCGGGTGAAAGCAGATGTTTGCGGATGAAATCATACGTTCGCGGGTAAAATCAGACGTTCGCGGACCACGTTGGTACATTTGGCGTTTTCAACTTAAAAAATATATAATCTTCCAAACGTTTTTTTTTTAAATAGTGATAATATTAGCTTTACTTTGCAAGAAAAATTAAAATCGCGTATGTAGCCGTTGTGAAGATATACACTTAAATGTATTTTTTATAAATTAATTTGCAATAGTAAGCTTAGTCTCGGTGTATCGCCTCTTGTGTTAAGGTTTTTTGGACATTTTTCTATTTCAATGGCTTCACTGATGGTACGTTTGGTTCTGTATTCGATGCTAGCCAAGACCCTTGTTTTTTTAAAGTCAATTTTCCAATATAGCCAGCAATAGCCAACTTATTCATGGAAGACATAGTAGTATGAGCAATTGAAACGGCAACACTAAAATCAAAGTTATGGCTACGATACGTAGAAGACACATTTGTCATCTGGACCCACGGAGAAGAGGAGTTGAAGAAATTCCTGGACCATCTCAACAGAATTCCAAAATGGTTAAGTTCACAATGGAAACCGAGAAAAAACACCAATTACATTTTCTGGATGTCTTCATAATCAAGAAAAATAATGGCAAACTTGGGCAGAAGCACAGTCACACCACCACCCGTCACAACTGCAGTCAGTCATTAAGACACTTGTCACGAGATCCGAAAGGCTGGCGAATGATGACCACAAGAAACAAGAAGACCTGAAAATCCAAACGAGGCTACAGCAAAACGTATTCTTCAAAACCATCATCAAAAAGGCTCTTAGACCACGACGCCGGTTAAATACCAAAGAGGACTAATACAACAAACCAACTTCGTAGACCTTCCTTCCCTACGTGAGAGGGACAACCGAGAGTAGGCAAAGTTCTCAAAAAACATAACATTGAGACAACATTTACCGCCCCAAAAAAGATCGGTCAAATACTTCCATACGCCAAACCAAAAATAGAGTTGGATCCTCGAGGCATAAGGGGTGTACGAAATTCCTTGTAAGAATTGTGACGGAAGCTACGTGGGACAGACCAATAGACGTATCAACGTTAAACTCGAAGAACCTCGTAACGCAGTCTTGGCTAGCATCGAACACAGGGCCAAGAAACCTCAACACAAGAGACGATACACAGAGACTACCAACTGCATAAAAACCAGCTCTCACAACCACTAAAACGCCACGCAAATTAACGAGATTAATGTTCTGCTTTAGGTTTTCACGGGCGTTATATGTATTGATGGTTTTCCGGGATCTGCTATGTGTTGTCGGTTTTTGTTTCTTAAAAGAACCGTATATCTGATGACGTTTCGGTACAATCTCATGTACCCTCTTTAGGTCTTATAAGAGATATATCTACTAGGCTGCTGTTGCGGCTCTGCTGCTTTAGGTTTCCACTGGCGTTATATGTATGAATTCGCAGCAGAGCAGCAACAGCAGCCCAGCACATAAGACCTGAAGATGGTACATAAGATTGTACCGAAACGTCGTCCGACATACGGTTCATTTAAGAACCAAAAACCGACAATACGGAGCACATCCCGGAAAACCATCAATATTTATATATAGGTATATATATATATTTATATATAGATATATATATTTATATATAGATATATATATATTAGGGTGGGCCGAAAATCCGCTTTTTTAGAATTTCGTTTAGTAATAGCAAAAATTAGTATCAAAATTTTTTTGAACATTTTGATCTTTAATTGCGTTGGGCGAGCCTAGGATGTTGATCGAAAATTTTAATCTTTTACACAATTTTTTTTTACAACATAATGAACAAAATTTTTGCTATTACTAAACGAAATTCTAAAAAAGCGGATTTTCGGCCCACCCTAATATATATATATATATATATGGGGCGATCCACGCCAAATCGGCCAAGATTCACACTTCATGTTTCCGATTTACTTTAAATTTTCAGGGCCGACAGAGGAACATAAATAAAGGAGAAATCCAAAATTTTAATTTTTTTTATGCATTTTTGTGGATTTTATATAATAAATAAAAAAAAATGTCACGTTTCTTATTTTTCGAATATTAAAAAACTGAAACGACTGAAAATTTCGAGATAAATTTAGATGTACATATTTTTGGGCGCTCTTTAAGAAAAAAAAATTTTCAAAAATTTTAACCTAAAAATTCATTAAAAAAATCATTTTTTTTTAAACAAATTCAATTATCCAAAAAATGCCATCTCAAAAATTTTTCAAAAAATTTATGGTGATAGCCCTGAATCTTGCGCAAATTTTGACTAGTTACTTTTTGGGGGGACTCAAAAATTGTAGAAGTTATGAATTTTTTTGTGATGCGATGCGTGAAATCGTTACTCCCGCGATCAATGGCTCCGAGCGACTTCGCTTCGCCAAACGGAGAAAGAGATTGTTTCATTGAGTTAAATGTAGTATTTATTTTAATTATATTTTATTAAAAGACTAAATTCATTGCATTACATTTATTTTATTATTAAAAAAATACAAAATATTTTACAAGCGATAAGCCAAGCAGTGCACTGTAAGATAAATAATATTTGTTAATATCAGTCCAGATTTGTGAAAATTTTAACAAGAAAAACATTTTACCGAATATGTAATGTATGTAATTATTTTATTTTCTACTTATCTATTATTGATCCATAACACCTTGCAAATCAAATAAGTAAACGTATCTATAACAACCACAGGGCGTTATAGCCGGGCGTTATCATAATGCCCGCAAATTTAAATCTACAAAACATCATACAATATGCAGCCAAAGCTGCAGAAAATTTGTTGTTTTCAATCACTGACTATAATAAATAATAACTTTTGTGTAGCCTTGGCTGCATTTTGTAAAATATTTTGCGGAATTTCTTAAATAAAATTTTGATTAATTTTTGTTTGACATAAGTCAACATTTGGTACAGTGACAGTAGGAAATTTGACAAGTTTATTTATTATTTAAATTTTTGATAAAAACATAAATCTTTAAGTAGAAAATAAAGCATTGTATGCCCATCACGCGAAATCCTATCCCTCGGGCCAAAGGCCCTCGGGCTAGTTTCGCCTTTGGGCATTAAAGCCTACGTAATGCCCTTGATACATAAATAGCTAATAAACTACTTATTTACACAGTAAAAATATTTGTTAATTTTAACCAATTAATAACATATTTTTTTATTAATCTAGGTCCAAATAACTTTTGGAGTGATGTTACATTTACCAAGAATTATGTTACGTTTACAAAGAATTATGTTAAACTTTTTACAATATAAAATTAAAAAACTAAAAACTGATATCAATAAATATGACTTTTAAAACTGTGTACTTAGTTAACAGATTATAGTTTGTTGTAAACGTAACAAAAGTTATGTAGATCTAGATTAACAAAAAATCTTATTAATATTTGGTTAAAATTAGCAAATATTTTTTTACTCTGTGTAAACAATATCAGAAGTTAAACTTTCCGAAAACAATTTAATTTTAAGGGTGTTCTTATTAATTGGCGATGCAAAGTGAATGGACTGAGTTCCTTTGATCGTCTTGCACTTTTTATGCCTTAACGTGAGAAACTCAGCTG